CCCTAGAAGTGTCCAAGGCCAGGATGGACAAGGCTTGGAGCAAGCTGGGTTAGTGGAAGGCATCCCTGTCCATGGCAGGGCGTGGAATGAGATGATTTTTAAAGTCCCTTCCAACCCAAACCATTGTGGGATTCTGTGAAACCATCCAGTTATTGTGAGTCCTTTTTCTGCTCCACGTCATGTACCAGTGGCAAAGCCCCTGATTTCAGCCAGCCCTGCCCAGCCTCCACCCAGGGATGCTCTGGCAGTACCAGCAATGCCAGGGGAAAGGCAGGACAGAGCTCACCAAAGGTGTGTGGTACCCACTGAGAGCCAGTACCTCAAACCTCTGCCACAGGGCTCTTCACAGATGGACAAACCCTTGAAGGTGGATGGGATAGCAGCTGAGATTGCCTGCACTTGCCTTCATAGGCTGGGACTTTAACTGGAGCACATTAGAGTGCATTAATAACTATTTTAGAAGAAAACAATACTGACTTCATTTACTCTTACAAAGCCTTTGCCCTCATCTTTGCTGACTGCAAGTGTCAAAGAAAGGTCAAAATAGCTTAATTTTCTTCTGCACTGGACAAAAAGGCATGAAGAACAGACAGTAAATCCTGCTTTCTTCATTTGCATTGGGGCTTAAGGAAGGAGAGAAGGAATTTATTACAATCAAATTGACCCCAGCATAAACTTGGTTGCTTTTATAATTGTTGTGCGAACCAAAAAAGAGAAAACCAGAGTTTAAAGTAAAGATTTTAAAAGATGCATCACCTCAAAGACAGTGGTTAGAATTTCAGTGCAAAAAAATGTGGTAACAGACACCAGAATACAAAAAACTGAGCAGCTTTCTAAACACAGCTACTGCAAAACAGCAGGATATGCAACACTCAGGCACCAGAGAATGGAGACCAAGCCAAGTGGTTAATGAATTAAATAAAAGTGGATTGTGGTCCTTATCAGTAATGCTGAATTCTCCTTTACCTGGAAGCTCTGAGTAAACATTATTTTAACAGAAATGTAATTCTGCTTCAAGATGGCAAGTGCAATGTGCTTGAGAAACAATATAATCTTATTTGATAAAGGGACCTGCCGACAAGCAATGCTACCTGGCAAATTTACAGTTTCTTTATTGCTGCACCTGTATCTACTAATCAGTATCCAAAAGTTACACATGACCAGAACATGATCAAACATTTTTAAATGCATCCACACAATATTTACATGTAGGAAAAATATATCTTGAAAAGAGAATTGTTTTACTCAGGCAGCTAGAAAAACCACCATGGGAATTTGAAACAATGGCTTCTTTTCCCTCCAATGTGATTACAGGTTTTTACAGTTTATTCCCTTCATTAAATGTCAGACTAAAGTTCTCTGCTCAGCAAAAATTATTTTCTTAACAGCAGATCTTAATAAAAGAAAGATGTGCAGTGGTTTTAGTCTTGACACTTTCTAACTAAACTGGGCTGCAGACATCTCCTGGCACAGAAAGGTCCCAGACCAGGAATTCCTGAAGTTTTGTTCAGGGCAAGTTAATTACAGTGCAGTGGGCAAACAGCTCACCCCAGGCTGATGCTGTCTGCACACTGTGCCATTAAGGGAATCCATCAGGCCACAGTGCTGATATTTCACATCCAGTTAAAGCAAAACAAATGGTTCCAGCACAGCAGCTGAAACACCCCAGAAAGGCCACGTACATCCAGCAGCCAAGCTGTCAAATCCACTGCTGTAACACTGGCTGTAAATTCAATGTGGGGATGAATCTTATGGGTCTTCCTACAGCACACTTGGTGTGTCTCAGGCTGCTCACACTGCTTGTGCCACAGCTCAGCAGCACCTACTGGGCTTGCATTTATCATGTGGAACCCTTGGGATCCCCAGGAAACAGAGAGAACCACACCATGAGCTGGACTTATTTAAGTGTCTTTGGAGGTGGCTGGGAGGGCTTCCCTTGGCAGAAGGGAATAAGCAAAGCCCTGAAGGAAGCATCAGTAAAATAAAGATGTAAATAGAAGTTGATGCAGCTCTGCCTCACAGCTCTGACCTCCAATGGCCTGGTCAGCTCCTCCAGAACAGTCCCAGCCAGGCAGCACTGTAAACATTCTCTCTCTCAGAGAAAATACGGATGGTAACTGATTCTGGCTGGGCAGCATCATCCAGTTTTTGCCTGAGGTTCAAACTGTCCATATTTTGTCAAGATGCAGGTTAAATTGATGGCACATTTTTGTCCTAATGAGACAAGAATTTCATCCACAAACACCAAGGCATTTTCAAATCCCATAAGGCAATTAGTGATGACATACTGGGGCAGACAGGCAAGGAGCTATCCTGCCAGGGACCTCTACACCTATTCAAGGTTTTATAGTTAGGATAGAAGCCTGATACAGGCAAATCTCCACAAGAAAAACAGGCACAAATCCAGGCTCCAGACAAAACCCAGGAGTTATCCAATATCAGAAAGTGTGCACACTGCAAGTCACTCTTATGGTGCATGGGTGGGCCAGTGGATAACATGCCCTTGTCCCTTGCTAGTAGAGCTTCCCAGTGAGCACAAACACTTGAAGCACCCTGTCCCTGTCCCCACAGAAGCTGCAAATCTCCTCCAGGAGATGCACCATGTTACCCAGAGAGGCTGTGGCCTCCATACCCCTGGAATTGTTCAAGGTCAGGCTGGATGGGGCCCTGAGCAACCTGATCTAGTGACTGAGCTTTGAGGACCCTTCCAACACAAACCATTTCATTCTAGGATTCAACAATCACCCTGCAGCAGCTGCTGGAGGGGCACAGCTCACAGAGCTGCAGCCCTCCCTGCAGCAGCCCAGCAGGAACAAGCTGCTGAAGGCTCCAGTGCCAGCTCAGAATACTGTGTGCTCCAGTGCCCCCATGGGATGCACTTCCTTCCCATGCCCTGTCCTGCAGGAGGGATGGAGCCAGAGCAGGCACCACATCCAGCCCACAGGCCACCTGGCAAGGTGCCTCTGATCAAGAGCCAAGAACCAGAACTGTTTTACTGGAAATATCTCCAAGTATTTCCCAGTTACTGTTGAAAACCCCTCCATGAACAAGGCTGGAACAGCTCCTGGCTCCAGTGCAGGTGCCTCTCCCCAGCTGCACACCGTGAGAAGTCCCTGTGCTGACAGAATCTGCTGGGGTTGTGATAGCAGCCACGAAAACAGCGAGTAAACAACACACAAGAAATAAGAACAAGTACTCAGAGCAGGAATACCAGAACAGCCTGGTATTTACTTAATGACTCATCCAGAGGAGGATCTGTCCCTTTAGGCTTCTGGCCAGCATGAGAACAGGTAATAGGAGAGTGTATGAAATCACTGGAGCTCAGCTCCTCCTGACCTCTGAGAACAAAGAAGCCTTAGAACAGCAAAAAATATCCTCTTTTCACTCTTCACTCTGTTGCACAATCTTTCTCCACAGAGTAAAGTTGCACCTTTTACAGACTGGGAAAGGAGAAAGCAAGAGGCAGAGGAAGTATTTCTGCTCATCCACACAACAGCAAAACACAGACTACACCAGAAAAGTATTTCCCAGTGAGATTCCTACCTTTACAGGCTTTTTGGCAAAAGGTTCATAGATAACGTCTGAAGAGGACACTTGGAAAACACAGGCACTTAGGAAAGACAAGAGAGCTTTTAGAACTCAGTCACACCTTTTGCTTTGGGGCTTTCAGGTTTCCATCCTTTTATGCAGAACTGTGCAGATCATTACAGACACCAAAGAGCACCAATGAACGTGAACAGTATTTTTCTCTCCAGCTACAAGACTTTTCTTCCTCAACAAGTAAAATCCCTGACATTGCATCCTCTTGTACCTGTCAAGTCCTACATTCCTGAGAGGCTCTCCTCCTACCAAGTATACAAATGTTCAAGGAACTCACATGGCTAATGAGCTTCAAATCTATAAAAGCACATGAAGAATTCACTCTAGGCTGAACTTCTACTGGGATTTTTACCTCCCATGGAAAAGCATTTATGTACAAAAGGCCTGTGACACCAGCACTGAACGTTTTCAAGCAATTTCTGTGCAGGCAGAATGACAACTGACAACCACCTATTCTTCACCCTTTACACTCCACTATTGGCTTTGAGTTCAGAGCTGCTAGTTGGCTCATGCCAAAAAACAGGAAAAAAAATTATTAACAAAGTAGCCATCAGAAAGGCAAATTTATTAGCCTAATTAAAAAAAAATAAGAATTAATGCTGCTAAGTAGGCAAACTTAGACCTACATAACTCATGGTTTCTTTTTATGTTATTTATGACAGTGAGAGTAAAGTCGAAACCAAGATATTTTAAACCTTAACTGTCTCAGAAATGCTGGTTTTATTTCAATGTTGAGTGCAGGACTTATGTAACATTTCCCATTTTGATTTCTGCTACTACAGGATTTTAAAACAAAACTGTACGGTCACTGCCTACAGCCCTAAGGGGCTGAGTACAAAAATAACATAAGAGATATCACAAACTCTACAAAATACAATTCTGATTTAATTTCATTCAAGCATTATGTTCTTTACTTTGGGGAAATTACTTTATCATCTTTGATAGCAAGCACTCTCCTTCAGCTCTTCTGAACACTGAAAATATCATTTGAGGTACGACTGGAAGAAAACTTGAAAATGCCTTATGTAATTTAATATCCTTGCCAAACTAAACCAAAGTTTGTATTACAAGCTTAACTTTCTCATGCTGCAAATAAAACGCCTACATTTTTTTCCACTCACCAGAAAATATCTGTGTTCCCAATGGCTCACACCTCTTTCACTAAGCACTCCAGCTTTTTCAAAGGCTTCTGAATCAATGATAATTCATTAGTGGAAAATATTCCCTGCTTCCTCCCTGTTTCTCCTGGTGATAAAATACACATTTTCACAAGCAAGTTTCCATGGGCTGTGCCAGCCCAGAGAGGCAGTGTCAGGCCAAGCTGGAATGAGGGTGGATCTGCCTTTGGTCAAGGCCCAAGACATCAGGCAGCTCATCTGTCACATACAAAACCTACTCACCTTCAGGACATGTTATTTTCCAGTAGGAAAGCGTGAAAAGGCTCATTTCGGAAGATGTAATGGTCCATCAGTTTTTGTCCTTAACTCTCTTTGCTGTTCCTCCCAAAATGGTGTTCTGGAGATATAAAAAGAACTTCAATTTAAACTACAGCTCAGATAAACACTACATTTTCCCTGCTTTTTACCAAGCCCACTGAAAGGTCACCTGAAACCCATCTGATGATCCAGTCACTGAATTAATGCTGTTTTATCTTAAAGGAGGCTGTAAGGAATTATTTCCTCACCCTTGCCACCCTCACAGCTTACACATCTACCATTCACAGCAGCATGCTGAGAATTCATCCTGAAGACTGGGAATGGGCAAGGGACTTATTTAAAGTCCTGCTGGTGCCAGAACTGAGAATTACACTGCATTATCAAAAGTCCCTTTTCAGCTTGCCTGCTACATTTGACATACTGACATATATTTACTACACTCAGGTTTTTCTCCAAAGCATAAGCACTGAACTGCTCTGCTGAGTTTTGCTACAATTCCCTCAATAACAGATTACCTTCCTTCTCCTCACCACAGACACTTGGGTCCAACTGTGCAGCACAACCAGGGCACTTCTTACCCTGCTTGGGACTAGAAGGAGTTGGACATATGTTTGCAAAATTAGGCTGAAAAGGCAAAGCAAAAGCACTGGGAGTGTAAATGAGTAAATGCCACGTTAGAAGCAATTTCCCTGGCAGTCCCATTTCACAGCCAAAATAATTAGATCGCTAGCAAGAAACAGCCCAAGTAGCTAAATGGTGTGTTATGAGATTAAGCAAGGTCACTTCTCTTAAATCTGGCTTTCTAAAAAGATGCCTCCCCCAAAAACTTAACCCTAGGGCTCCATCCAAATTAAAAATTCACTGTTGATGTACATCAGTACAAACCAAATCAAAGTATTCCAGAGCCTGCCAAGTGCTGACTGCCCAAGAAAGGCCACATGCCTTCTAAGTGAGAGAAATCTCCATTTGAGAGCCACCTAAACTCTGAGACTGCTGCTGCTGCTGGGTGTTCAGAGATAACTGCCAACTCATTAAAATCCCACATTAGAAGTTTATTAAATATGCAAACATTAATGGAATTGGACTAGCAGCTACTTAGGCAGATAAAATTTCAGCGTGGCGCATCCTGAAGTTCCCGTTATCAATTTTGTTCCTTTTGGAAGCATCTGTCAAAGAGTCACAAAGTTACTCAGGGCACTGAAACCCTTCAACTCTTCCAGATTACTCAGGTCACCCTCTGAATGTTCCCACTAGCCTAGAAAAGACTCCTGCTTCCCAATAATTACAGCTCAGTATCTACTGTCCATTTCCACTTTCACACTTCACTGCTGGAGATGCAAAGTATCCCCAGGGGTTTTTCTCCTTTTGGGAATATCAGCAGGACAAGTCCCGTGCCTCTTTGCAAGCTCACAGGTTTAGAGGTTTGACACATATCCCAAATTCACAGTCCTTGTCAACTTGCTGCTGGAAGAACTGCAAAGGGAAGAGCAGAGTGTCATACAGACAACAGGGATTAAAGAAAAGTGCTTAAAAAACTGCTCTCCTGCACTTCAGGTGACTCCACACATGCAGGTGTGTGTAGAGCTCTGCTTGGAGCTCCTTCTTTCAGCCCTCTCCAACACAAGCATCAGTCCCTCACACCACTCTCAGTACATTTTGCTCCACAAAATGCAGTTTCATTCCTGGGTTACTCTGCAAAGTCCCAGTGTCTGGTGAGTGTCCCAACAAACCTCCAAGGTTTTGCTGTAAAGTGACATCAGACTTGGAATCGTTCTTCACTAATGCTATCAGTATAATCTGAGTTAGTCTCAGAGAAAGGAGGACAAGAAGTATCACTCATCACACAGAGAACAAACAAGCCCCTAAGAATCCCTCATGTACCTCCAGGTGACTGGCAATAGCCTTGCTCTCTCAGTGGCTTCAAAGAATGTCTGGAAGATTTAATCCTCTAGTTATGGAAAAATAAGTGTGGTCTAGCACCACCTTCTTGGAGATGTGAGGTTTCAGCAAAAAGAGGGAAATGAAATCTTGGGGAACAAACTTGGAAAAAGCATGATTTATAAGGGAAGAAGGGAAATGAAGGAGTATGAAGTGACCTCCAAAGAAAACACTGAGCTCAAAGAGGCTGAGCAGGTTCTTTCCCTCCACCTTTCCTGGTTCCAGTGACAGTCTGCAGAAGTGAGGGCTCTTGTAATTGTCAACAGCTTCCCAGAAGCAGCACATGGGATGCAGCACTAAAGTTTGTGTTTCCTTCAGTCCTGCAACCATATGGGCCTCTCAAAATAGAAGGTTCAAGGATGCCTTGGCCAAGAGGGATCAACAAAATCCCCCATCCATCACCTGATGCAACACCAGGCATCACATGTTGCAGAATCTTGAGCAGCAGCCAGTTTGAGGTCAGGCACACAATAGCCTCCCACTCCATGAACCAGGAAGCCAGAGCTTAGGTTTAGATTTTTTTAAAGGAGAACTGAATTATTTGGGAAATTAAGGCAAAGAGGGACTTTAAGGTAGTCTGGGTTCTGAAAAGGGTCCTGACTAAATCTCACATGCATTCTGGGGACTGATCTTTGCTGCTTCAGTGTGTTCAGAAACACAGAAAAGCAGCCAGCTCATAGCTGGCCCCAAGGTCAGCTATTCCCTGACATAGCAAAGGAAAACACATACAAATCCTTTTACCTCTCAAGAGACATCATGATGACTTTCTGTTGCAGATGGTACATTCTGGGCCTAGACACAGGGAAAAATGACTGTGCCAACATTCCCTAAGGCTCTGAGCACTAGGAGGCTTCCACACCGGTATGTGCTGTGTCAACTGCCCATTTGGTCAGCCCACTGAGCTCCTCAACTTGACTGCACTGCACAGAGCACATCAACAGTTTGGATTATCTCTGCCCAGAGAGCTCCTACCTGCAGGAACATGCAATGGATGACAGAACCCAAAAATAATACTTATAGCTTACAGCCAGCACCCTTGCTCTGCCCACCAGGCTGCAGGAGGAACCTTTACCCATGAGAACACACTAAATCAGTTAACCAGCAGCAGCATTTCCTCCCAGTACAGACAGACACAAACATTGAAACTACAGGACACTGTGCCTTGGGGAATGTAAATAAGCCATTAAAGAAGAGCTCTGTTTGTAAGGGAACCAGGGAGGTCACAGTGCTCTGTGTCAGGTGTATGACACGCTGACCTGTGCCCAGGGACAGGAGTCCTTCCAGCAACCCTACAGCTAAAGCAACTGCTAAACATTCTTATTCCCAAAGTGGTGTCTCAATGCTGCCAAGCAACATGGTGAACTTTAGTGTCCAGGTTGTAAGGAAAACAGGTAGAAATTTGAAATGAAATTGAAATTGAAACAGCCATCCATCTGCCACCTGCTGAGGTCCACGGCACCACCACCATGAGAGCCCAGCACTCTCTTTCCTCCACCAACATGGAGGTGTCAGGCTGACCTGAAGGCAGCAGCAGCAGCACTGGGTACAAAGCATCAGTGGGAAACTCCTCTTTGAGGGATACCAGAGTAGCCCAGACACAGGGAAGGATAACATTGCAAGGAAATTTCATCCCCCTGAGCACTGAGCCATCCTGCCACAGGCCAGAGGTCACAACTGTAGTGGCACCAGCTAAGAGTGACAATGGAACCTCACAAGACAGGCTGGCACACTGATCTGGAGGATGCTGGAGACAATGCCCTCTATCCATGAGTTGTAGGGCAAATCTGTTGAGCTAAGATAGAAGCAACCAAAACTCACAAGTCTCTGAAATGTGGACAAGGTGTTTCCTGGCAACAGCAACAAACCAATGGAGTCAAATGAATGTTTTCTCAGCATTTTGCTGTCGGGTGACCTCGCTACCACCCTTCTGCAGGAGACAGGATCTTCTGTGACAGAACCACCAGCAGCAGCTGACCCAGCACAGTGACCAAAGCTGACACTGCTGCATTCCCCTCTGCTCAGCTCCAAGGTTGGATTCCTGACCACCTTCTCCCCGAGGGAATTTCAAAAATAGCCTCTGCTCACTCAAGGGAGGCCACGCCTGAATAAACCAGAGGCAGAGGCCTTTGCTCACAGCCCACACCACTGCAGCTCGCCTGTTCTGGAGGTGGATGTGAGAAGAAATGTAGGCCACACATGCAGAGAGAAAGAGACATCCAGAGTTCAGAGATGCCAGAGATCCCACTGGCAGTCAGCAATGAATGCCCATTAAAACAGCCTGCAAGTGCTGGGATACATTCAACACGAGCCAGGCAGGCTAAGGGCAAAACACATCTCAACAGAAAGTTAAAAACGTGTGGGATATTTCCCCACTAAACTGCCTGATGAATCATTAAAGAATATCTTTGTGATGTAACTATTCAGACTTACACAAAGAAGCCTTGTAATTAGCTCTCAAAGTAATCCTCTGGCCACCATCTGGAGCTCAGCCTAAACCTTGACCTCAGTCCCAGCAGACAGGCACACATCCGTGACACACACCTGACAGTGAGTCACACTGCTACACTGCATTCACAAAGTGCACCAACTTGACAGGAATGCTAAAAACTCGAGCCACTTTTTGCTCTACAAGTTCTTCAGTTCACACCCATCACACTTAAGGAAATGGTTTCAAAAATATCAAGTTAAAAAGCAGGAGTCATCAATCCAATCCTGCATCCAAAATGCTTCCTCCATCGAAACCTCAGTTTATAGTAAACAAAGTTGGCATTTGACATACACAACCTTCTTCCAATAACACCGGAGGAAAATCTTCCTAGAAGCAGATTCTGACAGAAAACAGACTTACCACAGATATAAAATAACTTATTCCCCCAGGTATAAACAGCTCAAAATATTTTACTATTAAAGTACAGCAAAATTCTTTTAGCTAAAGCACCATAGATGACTGGATGTTCTTTCTTTACTAAAACCTTCTGATTAGCTTGAAATTCCTGTTCCCCACAAGCAAATAAAATCTAAGATGGCTACCACCTCTTATAAAGCCTCTTAGCTAGAGAAAAATTAGTTTTCTTTAATATACAGCTCTATGTTGCTTTTTGAGCTCCCCACAGCAAAGCAGTCAAGAACGATACATGCCACATCACCAAGAAGAAAATTTATCTTGTCAGTCCCAGAGGAATTCTATTTCCAATGAAGTTTAGAAGCAAATTTCAGACTTTTGTAAAAAAAGCCCACAAGACAAGTAAAGATGGATGGATCAGTGAAAGTGCTGAAACAGTTATTGCTTAGTTCATATCTGAGAGCAAATCTCTGCAAGAATGAGAAATGTTTATTTTTTCTAGGGATCACGTGTCTATAAAGCACAAAGAGCCTTCTGTAGTAGGAGCCATGGTCCCAGAGCAGAGACCTCCTACCAGCTGGGCTCCTGGCACACACAATTCCCTCCAGCTCCAGGGATGGTTAAATACAAATAAGAGCAAGATTGGAACAGACCAGCAGATGTGGCACCACCAGGAGACCCCAAATTCCAGTCATTTCACTACACAGAGACACACTGGGGCTGTCACCACTGCCAGGTACAGATGTGGCTGTCCCCTCACATCAGGCAGGCTCCCAGCCCTGAACATGGGGACACTATGGGGGGTTTCTGAGCCTCCTCTGGGACCACTCCCCACAGCCAGATTGGCTTCAGTTTGGTAGGGGGTGGTTTAAAGTGATTATCTTTGCCACAACTCCTTTCTCCTGGCTGCAGTTTCAGCAGGGATTGCTCAAGACCAAAGTTCTACACAAGTCAATATTTAACTTCAGCTCTGCACTGCTGAGACCCACCTGGAGTATTGGATATGGTAATTTATTAAAGCTTATGCTGCCATTTCTAACAAAAAAAAATAATAATAAGTTAATCTTCTTCATGAGAACTAGTGAAGAAAAATTCTACAGGGACAGCAGTTAGAGTCAGCATAAGTAATTTTAATAAGGGAACTAAAGGAAAATGCTTCCAGGAAAGGAGATGTAAACAATGGGAGGTGTACACTTCAGAGCAGGTTCAAGGCAGGGGCAAGAGCCACACAGCAAAAAGCATTTAAAGCCAAACCACACCAAGGTCTGGAAATTCAGCATATGTCCCAGAAGCAGTATTTTAACATTGCAATTAAGCCATTAATCTATGTCACAAAGGCTTATATATGTCTTGCACATTACAAGGAGAAGCATTTATTCTCCACTAATTACCACTAACTATGACCTGCTGTACTAACACAGACTTTAAAATAACATAATAAACAAAAGTGATTTTTTTCCCAGGTTAATTGTTCCTAGTCTTAGTGAGGGTAAGAAAACTGCTTATGTTTAAAAAAATTCTCTGCATGCACCTGATATAAATTTTTGCCAATAGTCTTACCTTTTATCTTTTTGGAGAGCTTTCTGCTGTGAGAAACAGCTGTTAACATACAAATCAGGCCAAAAGTGAGCAACTGAGAGTAATTCCTTCTTTCCTACATCTGTTTCAATTCTTTATCCACCTGTTCTCTGTGACTTCTTTATTTGTTGTTAGCACTCCCATCTTTACATTTAGCAAAAGCTGTTTTTGTTCTCTAAACCAGAACATCTGTTGTAGCAATGATTCCTGTGCAGTTACAGGTGAAAATCACCACAGACACCATTCCAAAAATGCCCCAGTTCTGTACTTCTAACCCTTCACAGGCACCAGTTTGGTCAGCACCCAAAAGGAAACATTGTCAGGAAACAAAAATATTTCTGCTGGGAGAGTGGAAGGAAGAGGCTGAGGATATTAGGAACATCTGGAAATAAGGAGTAGTGCACAGCTTTCATCCCAAAAAGACCCAAAACAAAACAACAAACACCACCAAAAAGCCAAACCACAAACACCAGGACTGTCCAGCAAAGTGTAGCCTCGGGGAACACTTTCAGGAGCAGCTTAACTGGTTTTGATCCCTGTCACTGCCTAATGGGTGGCCTGCCTCTCCCTGCTGGATGCACAGGCACACAGCTCCATGGATTCAATTTCCAAATGGTGCTAATTGCCAGTGGGTTTGGCACCTGAATCCGGCCCACCACACCACCACTGACACCTGCACTTGAGGAGCAAGGAAAAGAGACAAGCAGAGGGATGGAAAAAAGGTGCACAGGGCTCCCCTTTCCAGCAGAAATATAATATCAAACCTGTTCCTGGAATTCCATGCTTCCAGATCCATAGAGTTACCACAAAATGCAACCTTGCACAGCTCAAACACCTCCTTGGAGCAATCAGATCACGACTCCACTCCATCTTGGAGTGAATGCAGAAAGCATTTACCTTTATTTTCCTGCTCTGCTTTGAGAATGAGACCAGTACACTAAGAGCAACCTACCTCTGAAGCAGTAAAACTACAGGTTAAAAGAACAACTGCAAGTGAAGTCACAGCAAGGTCTCAGCACTTTCCAGCAGCAAAATTCCCACAGAGCTCAAACGAGAGAGGAGGCAGGTTCCTGTCTGCTTTATCTAAAGGTTTTATTTCCATTGCACTACACCTGCAGGTGTTACACCCAACTGCCATCCATTTAGCAAAACTGAGGCACAGTACAAGATTGTGCCAGGGGCAGTGCCCTTCCCTACAAGGAGAAAAGAGGAATAGTTTGGATTGGAAGGGATTTGAAAGCTCACCTCATTCCATTCCCTGCCATAGGCACTATCCCAGGTTGCTCTAGCCCTGTTCAACCTGGCCTTGGACACTTCCAGGGCTGGAGTAGCCACAGCTTCTCTGGGCAGCCTGGGCCAGACCCTCACCACCTTCACAGGGAGGAACTCCTTCCCAATATCCCATCTAACCCTGCCCTCTGGCAGTGGGAAGCCATTCCCCTTGTCCTGGCACCACAGTTCCTGCCTTCCCTCATTAACTTAAGAGCTGCACTTCTCTGGGCTAAGCCCAAATGAAACATCCACTGAACTCATCCCAGCCACTCTCCCAAACTTCTGCCCGCTGAGAGAAGCATCAAAACTCCTACACTTCTTTTTTTTTTACCGGAGAGGGCACAAAACCATCGGAGCCTGTGCTGGTCTTTGTTGTTGTCAACAGCCCCCAGACAAGATTAGGACAGACACCAGAGGCTGAGCTCCGGCGGGATTTGCTCCAGGATGTCTGGCGACTGCCTGAAACGCTTCCTGCTGCCCGGAGAGCAGCGATAACACCGTGGGACTGCTCACCTGCCACCGCCAGCACCTCGGCGGCGGCTCTGACCGCTCTCTTAAACTGGAAAAAGTCCCTTTTTTTTTATATCAAATATACAAGCGTGAGGGCTCCGCGCCTGCAAACAGGAGCGCAGTGTCCTGAGCACCCTGAAAGCCGGGCACCCCATTCCCGAGCACCCCGTGTCCCTCAGCACCCCATTCCCCGAGCACCCCGTGTCCCTCAGCACCGCCATTCCCCGAGCACTCCGGTTACCTGCATACCGCATTCCCTGAGCACCCCGTGTCCCCGAGCAGCGCGATCCTGGGGCATCATTCCCTCAGCACTCCGTCACTCAGACACGGAGCTCCCAGCGCTCCCCGCTCAGCCCGTACCCCGCGCTCCCCGTTCCCTGCACAGCCTTAGCCCCGCGCTCCCCGCTCCCTGAGCGCCCCGTACCCCCGCGCTCCCCGCGCAGCCTGTACCCCGATCTCCCCGGTACCTGCGCTATGCCCGCTCCCTCAGCTCTGCGTCCCTGGCCGGCTCCGCCCCGCGCCGGACCCGCAACGTCACCTCCGGCAGCGCGCCGGCTGCGGGAGGCCTTTAAGCTGGGGGCGGGGCCTGAGCGGTGTGGGTGGGTGACGGGGCGTGGCCGAGAGCTGCAGAAGCACAGGAGGGGTCTGAGGGGCGTGGGCGGGATTTAAAGCGTGTGGGCGGGGCCTGATGGAGCGCGAGGGCGTCGGGACGTGGGCGGGGTCTTGGGACATGGGCGGGGGAGTCTGAGGGGAGTGGGCGGGGTCTGAGGGCCCGTGGCGCCGGTGCACGTGGGCGTGGTCTAATGCTGCGTGGGCTAATGATGCGTGGGTGTGGTCTGGCACGTGGGCGTGGCCTGAGGCGGCGCGCGGGCGGGTTTTGGGCGGGAAGGCGTGAGGCGACCTCGGGCCGTGCCCGTGAGGGTCTGGGCACAGCGCACACGGCCGGACCCGCAGCGCCTCAGGCCGGAACCGTGAGGGCTGGCTAGTCGAGGCGGACACCTCGGGCCGTCCTCAGGTGCTCCCGATGAGCCCTGGGCCGGGCGGGACGTGTGCAGGAATCCCAGCTGGCCCGGGCAGGGCTGCCGAGAACTGGGACAGCATCCCCGGCCTGGGCCGGCACGGACAGACGAGCACCGGACTCGTGGCTGAGCGCGATAAGGGCGGCCAAAGCAGCACTCGCTATCTGAGGTTTACCCTGTTTTCGAGTACTTGGTGATAGCAGCCCCAATATTCTAATATTACCTGTCAGTTTTCTCAACACTAGGTTACAGCCTTGCCAGGCCAAACTAGATATTAAGATGCCAAGCTTTGACTACTTTTAACACTGTTGTTTACTGCTGGTGGACACAAAAGAGTTTCTTTAGTGCTACATCAACGAATCTGGAAAGGAGAACAGAAAAACATATTGATTACATGTATCTTTTTGTCACCTTCATTGGTGATGTTACTGTCTCCTTCCAGAAATATCCCTCCACAGCCACTTGTGTCGGTTGTTATGAGCACATGAACATTTCTGTCACATCTCAGCCTTCTGCAGCCATCGCCTACTGTCTTTCAGTCCAACTCCTCGTGTTGTTCCAGGGTGTTGCACTATTCCATGGGATGCCAGTGCAGCACAACAGCCCCTTGAACCACGTGAAATGCTGTGAGTGGGGGGCACTGTAACCTTGTTCTTTGTCCTGTGGTGTAGTCTTGGTTGCTCCTAAGGAAACCCACGTTGATTTAGTGCCCAGGGAATGGGATGCTTGAGGCACTAGGGAATTTTTCTGAAACTGCTCTGAATTTCCCTTCATGCTTCTGTTTTCTGCTTAAATAGTCAGGTGTAGTCTGGGAACAGTCTCTCAGAGAAACTGTGGTTGCCCTGGAAATGTCCAAGGTCAGGTTGGATGGGGCATGGAGCAGCCTGGGATAGTGGAAGGTGTCCCTGCCCGTGGCAGGGGGCTGGAATGAGATGGGCTTTGAGGTCCCTTCTAGCTCAGACCATCCTGTGACTATCACTCCACAGCATTCCTGCTTTGTCGTGTATCATCCCACAAGGAAGGTCTCTCCCTGCACAAGCAATACCACGGCTTGCCAGGAGGTGTTGCTTTGCAACCACGCAAAAATCAGAGCTCAAAAGTCAAGAGATAGCCTTGTAATATTAAAAATAACCAACATACTTTGTTCTGGCAGGGAAAAATCAAATCTACCTTTGAAATGGCAATTTTTAAGACAATTTAGATCTTAAATTCCCAACATGGCACAGACTGAGATAAATGCTGAACAGACAACCCACTCAGTGGGAATGCTGCGAGTTTGTACATTGCTAACATATCTGTCAGACCAGCTTTATGTGTGCAAAGTTGTCCATGGCTTTGTGTTTGCAGGGCTGGATGCTAAAATATACATAAATACAGACCAGGCTTGATGCAGTGGGGTTTCAGAGGGGTAATCCTGGGTTTCAAGAAGCCAAGGAGCAGAGTACAGCCTCAGTAAGACAACAATCCTTCAAGGCCAGGTTGGACAGGGCTTGGAGCAACCTGGACTAGTGGAAGGTGCCCTGGCCATGGCAGGACATGGGGTGAGATGAGCTCTAAGGTCCTTTTCAACCCAAACCAGTCTGGGATTCCATGGTAACAGCTGTCATGCTCACAGGGCTGTGTCTCTGCTCTCCACACCTGCACACACACATTTTAAACAAAAATGAGCTGTTTGTTTCTAAGGGGCAATGCAGAGTTGGGTATACAACTGTTCTCCACCTGCATGGTAGGTTTTAAGTTATTAATGTAGTAACAGGGGCCAAGTTAACTATGCCTTTAACTATGCCCAGACTTACTTTACAAGACAAAACAGGAAGCAAAGATTCCATGACATTTAAAAACATTTTTACTACAGAAAAAAAACAAGCAAACAAAAAAAACCCACAAAAACAAACAACTCCTCAAAGGATAGCCAGTTAGGACAAAAATGTTTATGAATATGCCTGCATCACATCAAGCTGAAATAACCTTCATGGCTGACAGAAGCTGTGGCTCTTCAGCAGAAATTTAAACTCTGCAATAGGATGAAATTCCATGGCTACAGTGTGCCTTGCTGTGTGGTTGTAGTTATCACACTTGCTCCAGCTGTGCCTTTGTGAGAGCTCTCTGTGCCAGCCCTGAGGCACTGAACTCCAGCTCACCGAGGCTCTGGGAGGCTGAGTTTTGGAGACAGTTTGGAAAAGAAACTTAAAGTTACCAAAGGATAATTCCTAAGGGTGTGATAACCAAAGGAGACTTTGAAAACAATTTTGTAATCAAATGTTTACCAGTATTGGCTTTTACTACACATGAAGGGTTGAACAAAGATTACAAAGGTTCAACAGCTCTTTTTACATCAGATAACTTCTAAGGGGGAAAAAAAGGCCATAGCTGTTAAAGGGAAAGCAGAACACAGTTGTTGGATTTAGCTAGGCCTCCAGGCTGTCATTTCAGCAGCAAGGTGTAATTCAGGCCTGAAGCTTAGACCAGCTGATGACAAGAACACAAAGGTTCCTGCCCCTCTTAGCACTGTGGCCATGGGCTTTACCACAAAGCTCCACTCAGATTGCACAATACAGCTGATAAGACCTTCCATGTTCCTCAGAGGTGGTTCCCACAGAAATACTCTACTCCTCCTGGAACATTACTGCACTCACCTTTTCCAGTCTCTCTGGGTGCAGCTGTCAAAAAAGCATTTTCCAGGAATTTTTGTTCTGTGTGAATAAGGTTAGAGCAAATCAAGGTGCTTCTTCTGGAGTACCTTGCAGCACTGATATACTGGAATAAAAGTTAAGCAGAGGCTCCTATAAATAAAACACTTGTTTTTATCATTCAGCACTTCCTGAACAGGCTGATAATCCCAGGGGGCTGTAGGAGACTTGACATATTTGTGTTGCTGCAGCTCAGAAAGAAGCAGGAATCATTTTTCTACTATGGCACTTTCTGAAGGTTCAGAAGACAAAGCACAACATTCACATCCATTAACATCTGTCCTTTGGTCAATACCCTCATTGCCACTTCTAGTACTGGAATTTCTAAGAATTTGCTATTCCTGTCTGAGAATCTTTTCCCAGAGCTGGGTGCTAGGTGTATTTTCTGAGCATTATCCTCTAATGTGTGGTCAAAAAGCCAGTAATCAGAGGGGTCTGGAACAGTGAGATCTCTTTTCTCTTGGCAGGCCTAGGGCTAAAGAAAGCTGCCTGTTGCCATCTTATCACAGGGGTTCCATACTGTTATCGCCTAATCACAAAGGTTCCATTCATACCTTCTTGGTGTTTCTCCTGGGCACCTCCTCAGAGCACTGACTCTCTTCTTCACAAAGCAGCCACCCCACTCTTTTATAGTACTCTTCTTCTCATTGCTTACAGCTGTGGCCTGTTAAACTCAGGCCTGTTCCTAATCTTTGATAAGTGGCCCAGCTGCAACTCCTTAGGGGTAAGATTACTTTCTACACTATCTTTATTTTCTTATATTCTATCCCCCTACAGCTGCCCCCTTGTCCTGTGGTTCCACAGCCCACAGCTGCTTTCCAGGGAAGCACAAAGTGCCTGGCAGCCCCTGCACAGCTTTAGAACAGCAGGGCTGACAGACCTGCACAAGCTCCTGGGGAACCACACAATCTGCAGGAACAAACTGGACCATTCATAGCATTTTGCCAAGGTGAATTGCACTGACAGTGCACTGCTCCCCCCTCCCATGTGCAAGATCAGCTCAGATGTAGCAGAGCTGCACAGCCTTGGGTCTGATTGCAGTGCAAACAGCAACACTGGGAGAGGAGAACAGCCAGAAGCATAACTGGGGCCTGTACCACACCCTTGTCTTCCCCCACTGGTTTGGGAGCTGGATTTAAGCACAGGCCTTTGCACTTGCTCATTGCACAACTTGCAAGACTTAACATTTCTCTGCTGTACACACTGAAATGCATTTCTTCTTCTCACTACCAAACTCCATTCATCTTAAAGGAAAAAGAGAAAAAAAGACAAGAATAAGGCCTACAGCCTTAAATATTACTTGACCTTTTGCTTGACAATGTGGAACTTTCTTCTTTTTCTTTTTTTCTATGAGCTCTCTTTTCCCAAGCACTGCTTTCTTCTGTGTTTATTTGGGCTTGAATTAGGGCTGTTTATCACAACTACAGCAGTTGTATTATTAAAGCACAAGTAGATCAGACCTGTATATTATAAACACAAAGTACAACTTAGAGTGATCTTTGCTTTCATTCTGGTTAATAAAAATTCAATAGACCAGCTAGCCCTCCAAGGCATAATTTACACTATTTTTATAAACTCCCAGAAGATGCTGTTTACAAGCAAATGGCAGAGTATTATCACTAGTTTGGGGGGGTTTGTAACATTATATAATAAATGCCAGAAAAGCTGTAGTGATCCACCACAACAGCTGTAACAATAAAGGTTATATAAAAGCAGCAATAAAGGTTGCTTTTAGTGAAGGACCTTTCTGTACAGGTAAATCAATTTCTAAAATTGTGTACACCTATTCCAGACCAGGGAAAGAGCTGTAGCCATTC